TCATTACGGAATTCATGAAGATCATTTCTCACTTCATGAACAAGACCCTTATAACATGTATGATTCCATATCTCGCGGGGGTGAATTAACACCCGGTGAGCAACATAAAAGGGGGATGTCAGCCAATTGAGCATGCTTTGACTTGGACTTTATATAATTTTCCCTCCTAAAAACATATAAGCGACACGATCATGTTTCCGCGGAGTTCATATTGACCCACCCGCAGACCACTGGGAACTGCAACTCACTCACTGTAATCTTTCATTGATGCCCGAGCACCCAGCATACCTGGGAGTGGAATTTCTTTCAAGGAGAGCCAATCACTGCAAGATACAACCCTATGTGACTCCAAAAACTGTCTTGAAGAGCGGGGGTAGCAAATTTTCTCAGAGGAGGCTGGCAAGAAACAATTTTTTGTATAAGTGTACCTGCTCTCAAAACTTTTTGAAGAGCGGGGAAAATCACAAAAATTCTCACAAGCGTGCATAAAACCAAGCTAAATATGCACACTCTAAGGTCCAACCATTTTCAGGGGACCAAGGCCCTTCTGGCAGCCCCCTGCGGGTGTCCATTGTGAAACATTTTTTTCCTAACGGATACTCAAGGTTCTGGTGTTACCGGCTTCTAGATTATTATAACTTCTGCACTTGGCATCACCCTCGTAGTAATGTTCATTTATGGTGAATGTAACTAGCATTTGTGAAACCGTTTACTTTAAATCGTCCGTTAAAGTCACTAGGCTTTACTTTACTCTAAAGCCAAGAGTTAATTTAGACCATTGTCGTCACATATATTGTTCCACTAAAAAGAGTTGAAAATAATTTGAATCATTTGATATCCTTACATGCTTTGCTGAGCTTCCTCGGCGGAACCCCATGGCACTAAAATGATGAAAACAATTCGTCATCCAATTTCTTCATGACTTTCTATTAAATTATTACGCATTTTCAACTGTTTACTTTGACCTTTCAACAAAATCCACGGTTTGTTTCACGGTATCTTCATATGAAACTTGGATCGTATTCATAAGAATTTTACTAACTAGTATAAAATATCTGATACATGGCGCCTGCAAGAATTTTTTTCAAGGGAGTTGATCATCGGCAAGAGATAACCTTTTCGGAAAGTACCCTCGTGACTTTTTGAAGAGAAGCGGGAAAATCAACAAAATTCAATTTGCAAATTTAAAGGTCCATCCAGATTTTCAGGGAGGACACAGCCTCTTTTGGAACCCCCCCTGCAGTCGCCCATATCCCCACAGGTAGAGAAATGCTGGACTATAGGCGTTATACTAGCTAGCACTAGTTGCATGTATACGATTTAGAAATACTTAAGTTATCGCGCTGCAAAACTTTCCGCAATAATCATATTCCTAATTTGTGTAGTTCCTCATTTCTGAAACTTTATCTAGACAGATAATAAAAAACAAAACAAAGATTACATAATACCATTGTGTGATACATTCTGACAAATGATGGCTTTTTTGGTGGTATTAAGATAATTAAGATTGGATGTTTCACTCTTAAAATGTGTGATAAGTGCGTGCTGTCTGGAAGTGATGGGAACTTTTTGAGAGTTGTTCATAGCTTATCTTATGCATCCATCTAAATTTAGATCTCTTCACACTAGTTAAACATAATGAAATTAATATCATTGGAAATAATTCTGAGGTATAGAACACATAATAGTAATTAACAGAACTAACTAGGTATCGCTTTGGCGGGAATTCTCAATCCTCGAATCAGTATGTTTTTCGACATTTGACTATTGTAGGGGACGACAAAGACAAAAAATTTGTATAAGGCTGAAATTGAAAAAATCGAAAGTCATACAATCTTTTTTAGGGACTTGTATTGTAAATTTTGAAATCGCCTTAAGTCACTCCTGGATGTTTTTTGGGTTTTTGAGAATGTCGATTCTTTACAAATTCTCCAATTCTATCTCTTAGTATGTACCAATTTTATAAACAAAGACAAAAACAGAGTTATATTGGCTTGACTACATTTCTGTCGTTCTGACCTGATTTTTTATATTTCCATAATTTCTGGAAAAACTTCCTGAAAACTGTTTTTATTATACAAATATACCAACTGTTCGCATCCTACAACATCTCAAAAATTTTCAATTGCAGTTCAGCTTTGTCTCCTGTCAAAAATATTATAGCTTTCTGTGTGATGAATTCATGGATAGAAAATCGTTTCTCTTTCGCATAGAATATAGGCAAGAAGAAGGGAAAAGTTGAAGTTGCTGATGATGGAAACAGTGTAATAGAAAACGTGACACGTCTGTCCTTCCAATTTTGTATTACCTAGATTGTGACCCAATGTATTTTGAGTATGCTTTAAAGAGTCAACCGTTATTTCAGATCCATTATTAGTGCAAATGCCACTTTGTAATGTTTCACTTAAAAAATACAAGACTCTGGATAGAGAACACTGTCTCCTTCCTGAGACCAAACCTAGACCATGCTGATGAGATATCAAAAAAGCACAAAACTGCTGTCCATTGTTGGCCGTCTGTAGTCGGACGGAAGACAGCTAGCTATTACAAGTCTCGTCTTAGAAACAGGTATCAATCTTGATAATGCGTTTGTTTGAAGAATGCTTATGACTTTTTTAGTATTTGTGTTGTTGACTTTTCCTATGCTTCAGCAAAGTCTCTGAACAAAAAATTTCTTATTTATTTATTTATTCAATCAAAAAACCAGTTCATGCTAAAGTTATTGTTACATCACTGTCAACTTTTATGTTGAATAAATCTGCTACTGAGGTAGCCGACACGTTAGTAAAGTTGCCTTATGACCGATACGATTTTAATTATATTCGTAAAGTAAGCGCAATTTATTAATTTGTAGGATTTTTCTAGTAGTAGGGATATTCCATACACACGCGTAGAAAATGCGTGTGCGAAAATTTCATAAAAATCCTAGGAAACCTAATTATATGAATGGAGTTTATTGATTTCTGGCTTTGTAATCCAAAAAATCCTTGACCACAAAAAATAAAAACTATATCATAATTTATAATCTCAATCACCACATTGGCGATATTCCAAAACATACCGGGCTATCTCAATTAAAATCCTGGATTCAGCTTGAACTGCGGTTGGGCGACACCTCTGTATTTCATATAATGTATTAGAGAATGGGTAATCAGACAATATCACATCACTTAGGCTCCATTGGGCACCAAAGATTTCTCATGTCTAGATCATCAGCGACCCTAAGCTATTGCTGATACGACTCAGCGGAGCTTACTTCACATTAGCCATAAAATAATTGATAGGGCAGCTGAGTAGTCACAAAAACATATTATAGACGTGTTTCTCCTTAGCTGGCATTATATTCTCGCAACTTCATTTTTGAAAATCGTTTAGATGGCAGCGATGTTATGAGTAAAAATTAAAATAGCTTTTAGATTGTCCCATAGTTTAGTTTTGTATGATTTACAACTTTCTGAATATTTTATTCAAACATATTTGTGAAGAGGATACAATTTTTGAAATTTTTTAAAATTTGCTTCCATCGTCTGATTGATTCAGGTTAGAGTGTATTCAAAACATTATGGAGGTCAACCATTTTGTTTCTTTAGCAAGGTTTATCCTGATCCATGGAAAAAATATAGGCAGAGATGAATGCTTGGGAAGCACCGAGTAAATCAACTTGCCACTATTTTTTTCTTTTTTTTATTGAACCATCCATAGTGAAATACGATTTTAATGTTTCGAAATTGTCAGCCTCTAAAGGCAGCACCATGCTTGATAGTCAAAGTTGCTTCAGAGAAATTCTAAGGTATGTTAGTTACTTTTAATTTCAAAAACTTCTTTCAGCTGTTGCAGTTGTAATCTGGACGGCTAAAAATATGAAGTATTACCTAGCCGTACAACCTAAGGTGAGAATATTTAATTAAGCGAACGGCCTAAACATTTGCGTGAGATTGTGAATAATGCTTTACGCATTTTTTCCGTACGTGGGGACCCGTATAAGCTGGGAGGCCCGTATCAATGATACGGCTAATGCCCCGTAGAAAACCCTTATATTCTAAATTTTATTCAAACCCAACAACAGCTTGCATTTTGACCAAGAACCTAGCCAAAATTCCAAAACAATCATTTGATAACATTAGGTCCAGTTAGTTAGTTTGTCGAAGCAAACGTTAAAATGGCAAGAAGCTCGTGTCAGAAAAGTGTGTAATCGAATAGTGCTACCTTTCAAAACAACCAAATATATTGAGATGGCAAAATGGATTGCACAGGGAAGGTATGTATAATTATGATACGGCATAGCATTGATTACCAATCGGCGCATGTCGCGATACGACCCCAATTTGTAATTGGTGAATAATTCCTAGTAAATTCAAAAAGAGTTTATAAAAAACGTCCATTAGATTTCGCTCCATTTCGAATAATAGCATGTTTATCAGACGCCCAGTTAAAAAATACAGGTTTGCCATTTCGATTATTGGAGAACCGATACTAAATTCGTCATCAGAAATCCTTAAATCATATAAAACTTTAGTTTGAGCGCAAACAAAACATATTTTTGGCAAACATGCCACCCATATTAGATCTGGTATTTTGATTTTTGACAATATTTATTCGGTATCAACGACATAAAAAACATGTCTATTAAATTTTTCAGCGAATTTCAGTGAATCTTTCTAGTTTTGGACATCTTTTAAGACTGCGTTCTCAAAGTAATGCCGCGCTCCGCTTTGCGCGGATCAAATATACCTGTTTATGGAGCGGCAAAGTAGCACTTTGCGCTGTTAATACAGAAATAGTTATTAAAAACAACTTAAATGAGGAAATTTTAATTTTTTATAAGGTTTCGGTTTACATTTCAGTTGATCGCTCCCCGTACAATTATCGAAATTTTTCCCTTATCACTCGCCCGCGCTCATCACTTTCATACTGATCGCGATTTTTTTTATCAGCGGCAAACGTTTTGGCGCCCCTCCACTTTTTGAATCTATAAAAATGTTGGTTGTGCCTGGTCGCGATGTCACTTTGGTTTTGCGCTTTGGTAGAATATCAAAAACACGGGCTGATCACGAAAGTAGCAGCTGTCAGCTCCCAGGACCCCTACTAGCCGTAGACCAAGCGCCCTAAGTTCGCACCAATTTATCCTATATAACAGGTAAGAGACAAAAAAATTAAAAAAAAAAAACATTCTTTCAACTTATTTTTTTAATTTTAAAAACTGCTGATAAATTATTTTTCAAAATTTTCAAAAATACACTGAACAAGTCAATTTTGCAAAATATATACTGCTTTGAAGGAAATACTGAAAAATGATTTTTCGTGATACTCAAACAATTAAAAACGAAATATTTTTCCTTTTTATTTCTGCATTACTTCTATACTACTTTAAAGAAAATAATGAGAAATGCTTTCCATAATTCGCAACAAATACAAAAAAATATTTTCCTACTTTGCAAAATTTTAGTAATTCTTTGAAGTGAATACGGTAAAGTGATATTTGTAAGTGCTTTCAAAATAATAATAGAAACATTTTCCACAAATCTCATGTAACTCAATCTCCTTAGATTCTCTAAACTGATTATATTAAAATGTATATTTCACAAAAAATGTGAATCGAAATTAATAGAAAATATTCTCTCATTATCAGTAGTACCATAAAAATAACTGAAATGAAGTGGCTTTTCTTCTGATCATTATAAATGCTTAGTTCCTATTTTTTTAATAAGGTATCTCATATTGTGAATCTATTTTATATTTACTAGGTAAGCAGAAACACTCATAGAATATGATATGGATACATTTTAGAATTTTTCTATTTTACTCAAACTTCCCGTCAAATAACAATTTTCATTAACTATAAAGCTTTTTCGAATACTCAAAACAATAGTTTCTTTAAAGAGACAATTCATCTAGAATGTGTCTAGTTTGCGATTTTTGCATGATTTGACTATGTTGTAAACTACACACACAAAATTGTATGTCGTTACATTTATGTACTCCTGAGATATAATTTCGAAATTATAACCTCTCCGTAAAGAGGCTTTTTTTTAATTATGGACATACCTTTCATTCCTAGAATTATTGGGACTATTATTGATCTTTTTCTGTCTTTTTCCTACAATCGTAACTTGTTAATAAATAATCGTACAATTCTGAAATTGTAAGTGACACTTTTATAGCAGATTGAGAGGATAGTTACTTTTCTATTATGATTTTATTCTTCGAAATGCTCTCCTTTTTTTTGCAAACTGATTTTTGCGTTATTTGTTGACAAGTAACAATTGTAGAAAAAATGCATAAATAGGGACAAAAAATGAATTCTTTGACACACTATAAAACAATCAGATGAAAAACATTTGGAATACAAAACAAGCTTTTGAAAGCGATGTGCGACGTAAAATATATCTCCGGAAACGGATAAAATTTAATTTGAATATCGGTGGGTTTGTAGTGCGACAAGATGGAATTCCTTATTGGTGGACTAGCAGCGACAAGCGCCGGAGTGCTAACCAACCCATTGGAGGTGGTGAAACATCACATGGAGGTGAGCAAGAAGGCGAACTTTGAGCACCAAAAGGGCTTTCTCCACACAGGGTATCAGGTGGCTAAAAGGGACGGTCTCAAGAGTCTGCAGAAAGGACTTTCACCTGCCCTCGGTGCGCATCTCGTCTCATATGGAATGAAACTTGGTAAGTCTCTACTACAACCCATTCTACTCTCTGTTCCACCCTCTTCGTCAGCATCATCAAGTGAACATCCTCGTTATCTTCCTTTTGAATACCATGGTCTATCAAAATTACACGCCTTTTGATAATATAAAAACGAATCTACAAAACCGATAACGGACCATGATCCTCACTAGCACGCAGTTTGATTAGCTTTCCCTATACTATGTGCTTGTCCATTTCCCGCAGTTTTCTAGAAATACGCGGTCACAATTTTTGTTCATTTCGGGCTTGCGAACTGTTGTCATGAACATTTTAACACAGTAACGGCCAAAATTCTTTGTTTAGCCGAGCTTTTTGCACATTTTGGGGTTATCTGCTCTCAGCACATAATTAATGTTATTTATTCTGTTTCAACCACTCCAGAGCTCTCCTAGCATAATGGTACGAAGCGCACAAGACTAGGACTTTTAAACAAAGCGCACCTTTGCCTTGTATTTTAGCTCAGTTGGAGAATTTTCAATATCGGAAGTGCAAAATCTATCGTTGCCTTTCATTTTTGAATGCGACAGCGTAAACTACTGTTCATCATACATTATCATCACGCGGTTTCTCACAAAATGACTTTTCCTGAGAGCTCTACAACATCCAGGACACTTCCTTCTTTTTCGAAAATGCACGAGACCCTAAGGCCCTGTTTGGGAGTAAAACATGAGATGTTCTAGTTTTCCGCAAATGTATCTTCTTCACAGTCTCTTATTGCCTTATAAATGGTGGCATGTCTAACATATTTCACTGTAAATAAGGTCATAATTTCAGTTTTGGGTAACCGTCCAACTAATCTGTAGATATTCTTGCTGTTCATTAATGCTTCGTTCCAACCAGATAAGATATCAAAATTAGCGCAAACTTTTTTAAAAAGTTTTGTCCCAAAACTTACTATCTTCACATTGTATCAGTAGTCATGATAGCAAATTATGTTTATCATTGTCTTACCTTGCATTTACTAAAAGTCCATTATAAAAATGTGCAAAAACAAATCGTTTATCGAATTTCCCGCTGCTAGTTTATACAACAGTCTTAGATTCATTGAAAGCACATTTGAAAATCCTGACAATTGAGTAATCCGGATGGGTCCCGTTATTGATCTATACGCATTAGGTTTCCAATTTTTTTGTTACCACAAAAATAGCTTGAACTATAGAAAAAACAATTTTGAAAATGAAACTTCAACACCCTGTAACTTATTAAAAAGCAGCAGTTCACTAAGGCATATTTGGTCCCAATTAATCCAAGATTCCTCTTTGGCGCAATAATTTCGGACAACCCTGTATATGGAACTAGATGTGAAAAAAATAATATTTTTTGTCATTTTGCGCGAGTTGTACATCTCGTTCCAATGGTCAAACTGCTTTAAGGTATACGATGACCTGTTATTGTTTCTTCCAGGCACCTATGAGTTCTTGGCCAACAGAGGCCTGACCTATTACGAGTCAGGTGAGGTGTGTGTACCGAAAAGCATATTGGCCAGCACATGCGGAGGCCTAATGGGCCAATACTTCTCTAACCCGTTCTACCTCCTCAAAACCAAGCATGCCGAACACCAGCATCTCAATCCCAGGGATTACCTCAGCTATGCACAGATTGCTAAGAAGATCTATCAAGAACATGGAGTAAGTACCACACTATGCTCTTTTCAATAAATACCTTAATGGACAAAAAATAACGCAATAATTTTTATTTTAAACTGCATAATAAACCCTCCAATATAATTATGTACATAAAAAATGAGAACAGGATAAAAAAAGTAATCTATGATATTTTATTTAATTTTAACGATATTGGAAAAACAAATCAGTCAGTTATATATTAATCATCCTAAATTTGCATACGAACAATGTTGGTTAATGCGTTTTTTTGTATCTTTGTTCTCTGACCTCTGGTTATCTTTTGCATACGCCAGACAGTTTAATGCTTTTCTTATTCAGACAAACTGTCTGTTCTATCGCTATCTTGACTCACAATGAGCGGAATATTTTTTAATTGTTTGAGATTGTACGATTCCATAGTTCCTTGACTTCGAGTTATGTAAAGCTTTCGAAATCGGACTTCAGAAAATCGCAATTCTTGTTAGAATTATCTTATGAGGGCGAGAATAAAGATAAAATGTTTGATATAATTGCTGTATAAAATTGACCATTTTTCGAGTTACGTATTTTTTTTATATCTAACTGGAAAATCACCATTTTGTTAAGATTATCGTACTGTGGCGGATACGAAATTGCAATTTTCATTCTCTAACGAATCTAAGGCACTGTTCTCACCAGAAGCAACTCGACTTCAACCCGATTTTGACTTCGGTTGTGTTGCTTTCACATTCCAGTAACCTGGCAGCATTATTTTGAGATTGTGAATAAAGGTACTGACTGTATACTTACTTAAGAAGTAATTTTAGTTCTTAAAAGCCCCGACTAAAAGAAAATCATACTGAGTAACGTATCTAACAAGTAATATGAAGCTAAATCAATCAATGAGCATCTGCATTATTTTTCTATTTACCAAAAAACTCCCAACACATAACAAATGCATGTGCATTTAAGGGGTTGTGAAAACTGACATTTTGTGTATTTCTTGAGCCTGATTTAATATTATTACACAAGAAGTTACAAACCAGCTAAGCGGCTTCAAAGAAATTACATACCGTAGCGTCTTTTATGAGAATTTGCCACCGCTGTTTCTCGTTTCTGCACTAATTAGAAACCTATTTTGAAAATGTTATATGCTATATGCTAATACATTTGACAACAGGGCCATCCTTCTATGACATTAGTCTTTTCAAAGTAGATTTCTAATTAGTGCGGAGAGGAGGAACCTAGCAAATGCTCATATATGACGCTACCGTATTTCATCTCGGATAATTTTTTGGACTCGTTCGCATAGAATTACGTATCAGGTCTAGTCGTGGAGATAGATGAAATGGAATGCAAACAAGTGTGTACAATGCTATTCCCCACGATGCATGTAAGTGAGCTGTTCAGAGCTTCACGAGTCGTCTCCGACTAACGAATTCAAATAGATTAGGAGCCAAGCCTATATGTTTTCATAGCATTGTTTGTCGTCAAAATGTATCAGTTTTAGTACATACTTTTGACTCATTTGTCTTCTAATGCCTACCAAAGTGAGACCGTTCTAACAACATAATAATAATAGTAATACTTCCCGTTGGAAACATCTACCTTCGTTAGACATGTGCCGCTATTTGCAATTTATGTAAGAAGTACGATGTCTTGAAAGCGTCTAACACCACAATTATCTGCAAACACTCGCACCTAAAAAATAACACTAAATATACGAATTTAATGATAGTACTGTAAAAAAATTGAGTCATGTCAAGAACACTTTGATCATCACTTAAGTCTATTATGAGAATTAGGAGACAAACAAATCCTTGACTGGCTTCTTCTACCTAGTCTGAATTCGTTATCTCCAACAGTGTGCTGCTGCTAACTGCCAAGGTGAAGACATTAATTTCAAAACATGTTTTTCTATGGATGCATATGTCTTTTTTGTAAATCTTTGAAACAGCCAAGTTGATTCTGCCGCACCCTGTACCAACATTAGCCTTTTCACTCTGATGCTCTAATTGAGTCACTTCACGTTACACAAAAACGCGATGGATAAACATTTTTTCCGATGTATCAGTTATTTTTTGAAAATATAATCGGTACTTTAGGTAAAATGTCACACTGATAACTTCTTTCATCAGCTGGTGAGCAACTTCAACCAGAGTAGCAACGGCAGTACCAGAACCGTTGTTTTGGTGAAAACGCTTGTAATTGGATACATGTGCCGAGTCGGGTTGCGTTTACTAATTGCTCCCGGTGATCGATCTCTTAGCTAAGTCATTAGACTCCGACGTACATTTTTCTAACAATCTCTTCTTTTCAGATTCGCGGATTCTTCCGTGGAGCCACAACCTCTCTTCCCAGAGCACTGATTGGAACATCTCAACTGACCTCTTTCGCCGTTGCCAAAGAGACACTTAACAAGTTCGACATGTTCGCTCAACAGCCTTTCTTCACCACGGTACTCGCAGCAGCAGCCGCCGGAATGGTACTTAGCGTCGCTATGACTCCATTCGATTTGGTACTTACCAAGATGTACAAGCAAGGTAAGTTTCTTTATCCTTAGCAAAATAGTGTATAACTCGTAAGTTTTGACAAAAATTTAACAAACTTAATGGGTGAAATTACGTACTTTTATTAGAATCTTGATACTGGTTAATTATACATATTTTGATTAGATGAAAACGGATCTATAAAACTGGGAGATGATGATCCTCAATTTAATGCGGTTTGGTTAAGACTTGGCTCATTGTCCGTTGGACGATATTCATGTCCAATCCCCAAATTTGCGCATTTTGCACTTCCCATCAGTTGTCATGAGCTTTTCGATTGGCCAATGTTGTGGTACATCTGGGGGTTACCTTCTCTCGGTACATAACTATATAACGTTATCATATTCCAACCATCCCCGACCTCTCCTCACATAAAGACACGAAGCGTGTGTTAATAAAGATAAGCAGTTGTGATAAGTATCTTTAGATACAGTGCTTCTCCTCGAACTTAACCAACAAATGGTGCTGAAACTCCAGCCTCAGAAATCACGCTGCAGAACTTGGTCAGCAAATTTCACCTTTGTTTTAAAATTTACTTCATTGGACAATTCTCAACATCGGAAGTGAAAAATCTATCGTTGCATTTGATTTCTGTATGTGATAGCTTTCTATCATCCATTATAATCACGTTGCTTCTCACAAAAAGCCTACGCATTAGAGCCCTGCAACATCCAGGTGTTTCTTCGACCTGTACCTGAGTATATTTGAGACACACTCTTCTTCTTTGAAAATGCATGTTATTTCTAGACAACGTTCTCCTTAATGCAAGGTATATCTTCTTCACAGTCTCTTGTTGCCCTATAAATGGTTGCCTGGCTAATATTTTGATCTCTGAACAAGTTCACAATTTCAGTTCAGGCCAACCGTCCAACAGAGCTGCAGATATTATTGCGAATTTCTACATTTTCTTCGGTTGATACAGTGAGTGACTAGACTAGAGTAGAGCCTGTTTCACGGAACCTCTTAATCCACTTATTCAATAGGTTCTTACTCGGGGCATCTCTTGGTCGGCGAATGTTGTATCGTGTACAAAATTTCCGAAAGGCAGCTGCGTATGAATCACCACTCTTAAAGAAAGCCTCGATAGCAAAAGCACGTTGGGCTCCAGTCCAACGTTCGATTGTGACTATTTAACCTGCACGCCGAACGCGTCGATCAAGACCTCTCCCCACTTCCTCGCGTATACTTTCCCACTGGACACCCTGTAGTTTGATTTTTGAACTTACTCATCGAAACAATTTGACACACAATACTGACAACAACCCACTGTTTAATCCCTGCTTAATCCATGGAGCCGAATTTTGAAGCACTGCTATTTAATTACCGCATTATGAGCCACGCGCGCGGTCTAGCGGACGAAAAGTTACTATGACATTTATTGTTCAGATTTCTTTAATTTGTGTGAAATTGTTCAAAATAATATTCACCGGGTTACCCCCTGTAACCTCTTGATTAAGGGACTTCTCCTACAAATGTGATTTTAAAGAAAAGTCAGGAAAGTTCACCCACAAATTCAAGTGTTCCAACTCTTCAAACTTTTTCTACCACCGTCAATGTTTTCTGACAAGATTTAGTAATAAATAATAGTATTAGTCTGTAAAAGGATTTATCAATCCTGGCGGTCCTAATAAGAATAATAATCAAATTACTGCATTGTCATTGGTCCTTTATAAGTGTGCGAAGTTTCAAATTAATCAAACTTCTGTAAATTGGTGAACATTATGCTCAAAGATTCCGTTACAAAAATACATACAGCTAAAGCTAATAAAAGCGTGTTAAAAAGCGTAGATCTTATATATAACATTTTTCTATGGATTTTGGAATACTTGCATTGCCCAATATTTCTAGTTGCACTTTTAGTATAGTTCTTATTCTCTTAAGTAAAACGACACTGACAATTTATTTTCTTTTCAGCAATCTTCTCCGACAAGCAGAAATACAGCGGCTATCTCGACTGCATGTTCAAAATCTACCTGAAGAAAGGTCTGAAACCATTCTACAAGGGCATGGGCCCACTCTATCTGAAACTGGGACCCCACACAGTGCTATGCCTTGTCTTCTGGGAAGAACTTAAGGATGTTTACAGGAAAAACACGAAGACCGTAGATTATAACAGCAAGACATACAAACCCGTACCGTCAAATAGTTTTTACGAAAATATCGGATTTTTGAGCGGTACTCATGATGACTATTTCAATCAAAAAATGGAATCTGAGTCCAAGTTAGGAGTTTACTGGAACTGAGTAAAATCGCTAGGCTGTGATGTAGTTTAGGAATTGGTACAGAAACTCATAGCAAAAATAAAAAATTACCTAAAACTAACTATAAAATTTTAAAACATTTGTAATTCACCAGTTGAAGACGGGTTGAATATTTTTTATCATTGTTTTGACTGTGTTTTTTCATTTTTGGTCGAAACTACTTTTTGATTTAGGATTATTGACCACATCGAATCTTATTAGGATGAAGTATTGTGTGCTTTATTTAGATTGGCTTCAGTTTTGTTAGGTATTTGCTCGTGAGTCCTTTATGTGAGACTAGCTCCTTTTGCCAAGTGACATGAGTTTGTTTCTGGAAGTCACAGTAAGCGTAATATAAACTGAACAATTCTAGATAAAGTATACAAAATTTCATAGAAATATATCTGTCACCAATTCCATAGCATTATTCCAATAAGTAATACCAAAGATTCCATTATATAATGTATGTTGTATAAATAAAAGAATTTTGTATGTTTTTTTAAATAAAACAGTGGACCAATGTTTAGCAATAACACGTTTTTTTGTGTTACCTTCACTGCATACTAGAATTTGTAGTCATAATATGACAGTTTGAAAAAGGGTAGTGATATACATTTGTGATGTACAGATAACTTCTGTTTTGTATTTATTTTTGTACTAAAGAGCATAATTTATTGAAATAAACTGTTTAATTGAAACATGGCTGCTCATTTGTTATTGAAAACAATAGGGCGTATAGATAAATAGCTGAACTATAAGAAATTAATCATCTACGAGGGTGGTCTGAATAGTTTCCGACCTCAACGTGACGTTGGCAGCACTCGTAAATAAAAGCTAGTGAATTTCTTTGTTCATCTGCCATCTGTTGTCAGTTACTCACCAAAGTTTAAGCCATTTTGGACACGCAGTTGTTATGTAACAGCCGTTTATGTAAGTGGATGTGATTGTTTTTGTGAAAATGGACAAAATCGAGTAACGAGCTGTTATTAAATATTTGTCTTTGAAAGGCTAATATTAAAAAAGGTGATTCTTTAGACTTAAAAAACTACAGGCCAATAGCTCTTCTAAGTATTTTCTCAAAAATCATAAAGATTGAGTCTTACTTAAACACCAATAAAATCTTGACAAACCGTCAGTTTGGTTTTCGAGCTGTATTTTCAACAGAAGTAGCAACCACCGAATGTGTTCAGCATATGCTTGACAGTGTCGATAATGGTATGCTTGTAACAGCAATATTTTTCGATCTCACAAGAGCATTCGGTACTGTTTCCCACAAATTTGTTTCTGATAAGCTCAATAAGATTGGAATTCGAGGTTGTGTTAACTCATGACCTCCTTTTTGGAAAAGAGATATTTTTTTGTAAAAGTTGATGATAAAAAATCTACTGAATTTGACATCGATTGTGGAACATCTCAAGGCAGTACCTTAGGACCTTTCATCTTTTTATTGTTTGTCAATGACCTTCCTTTGTATATCAGTGAAGGTACACCACTTTTATACACTGATGTTACCTGTATAATTGTATCTGCTGTCTCAGCGGAAAGCCTTGAGCAAAAAACAAAAATTGTAATGAAGCAATTTGATGTTTGGTGCTGTAAAAACCACCTAATCGTCAACTGTAATAAGACTGTAACCATGGAGTTTCACACCAGGCATAAACCTCCAACTAATATTAATCACAAGGATCTCTAATAAAGCCATCCATGTCATTTAAATTCTTAGGTATCATTTTTCACATCTGTCATAGGAGGAAAATGCCAACTCAGTATGCGCAAAGCTTGGTAAATGTTATTTTGTGATAAATTCTTAAAAAAATACCTTAGATACAGAATGTTTGATGAATATTTATTATGCGTTAGGATGCTCTGCTATTTCATATTGATTGTCTTGTGACGGTAGGCTAAAGACATCTACCGTGTTTTTATTCTCCAAAAATCATCCGTTTAATTTTTAAAATTCTTCATCGTACAGGGAAGTATTTAAACGTTATCGAATTCTTGCTGTGGCATCTATTTATATGTTCAAGCTATTAGTGTATTTTTTTGAAAATAAAAACAAATTTAAAAGACATTCCGATTTACATAATTACAATACTCGTAACAAAGACAATTTCATTAACAATAAATTTCATCACATGTAGCTACTATAAAAAGTCTCCAGTTTATGCTGGATGTATGTTCTTTAACCTGCCTCCAGCCGACATGCGTGAGGCAACGACGTTGAATAGCTTCAAAGGAAAGGTAAAAAAACATTTTAATGGAAGGCTGCTTTCACAGTACTGACGAGTTTCTCGCTTATTTTAAAAACTAATATACGACCCCTTTCCCACTTCAGTTGGCCCAACTATTGAAATCTTAGTTTTTTCTTATCAAACACAAATGATAAAAATGTACCAGGGTGTTATAGGTTTAAAACATTAACAATGAATATTTTGATAATATATAGTATAAAACACCTTATCACTCCCTAATCAAATTTGCAGCACAAAAATAACACATGTTGCATTTACAGCATATCAACCTATTTTCATCTCAATGCAAAATAAGTCTATAACGCATAGGTGGCTGTGAAAAATAAAAGCCATGACAATTGTTTTTATTAATCACAGCTGTCAGAATACGTTTAAAATAGTTTTGGGTAGTTAAGGTTTTCAAAATGGGGAGAGGAAATGTTATTAGTGAGAAAATTCGGTTACTGGATTTTATTTTTTAATTATGGGAAATCAAACTCAGAAATTGCAACTTTGTTAGACTTACCGCGGTACAGTGTGAGGAATATTGTTAGAAGATATAACGTAACTGGTTCAGTTAATATTAAGCCACGATATGAGAAAAAAGTAATATCACAAATGCCGACCGAAGAGCATTAAGAAGAATAATCGTGAAAAACAGGCGTGCCAATTATTTACAATTAAGTGCTCTGTGGAGTGACGCTGTTGAAAGGAGAATTTCGAGGTCCACAACTCATAGAGATGCCCACAAACTGGGATTTAGCACTTGCAAGGTAAGTTTTCTTATACAAAAAAGTGAAGCAAAAACCCTGAAGTTGCACAACTTGTTTATAGGCCAAAGAAAAGCCACTATCAACTCCACTTCAAAAGAAAAATCGGCTTGGATGGGCTAAAGAACATAGACAATCGACACCTCAACAATGGTGTGAAATACAATGGAGTGATGAGGCCCGATTCGAAGTTTGTATTGGTAACAGTCGCAGTTGGGTTATTCGCAAAAAAGATGAAGCATTCCATGTTGACTGTCTGAAGAGAAAAGTGAAATTTCCAGCATCCATTATGGTCTGGGGTAGTATGTCATCAAAAGGAGTAGGAAAACTTCATTTTATTGATGGAAATGTGGATACAAACAAATATTTGGCAATTTTAGAAGAATCGGTTTTACCAGTGATGGAAGAATGTTTGACATCCGGCCAAGATTTTGTGTTTCAGCAAGATGGTGCAGCGTGCCATACCTCAAAAAAGGCTATAAAATGGAAGGAAGAAAATAATGTACGACTTTTGAAATGGGTTTCTAGCAGTCCAGATCTGTCACCTATTGAAACTTTGTGGCACGAGATGAAAAAGGTTCTACGACAACATCCTGCTCGTACAATCACCGAACTGAGACAAAAGCTTCAAGAAATATGGGATTGTTTTACACCAAATTTTTGCCAAAACTTGGTTCACACTATGCCCCAAAGAATTTCAGCCGTAACAAAAAATAAAGGTGATGTTACCCAATGGTAATCTTTCAATTGTTGCTTTGTTAACTTCGCGCATTTATTCGCACATTGTTTATTTGTTCAGATGTTCTATTAGTTATAGGTCTAAGTGATTTCAAATATGTATTTTTTACGACTAGAGTGTATCTAAAATGTTTTTGCGAAAATAAATTGTTTTAGGAGTAAATAGTTCCATCATGTTTAGTTTATAAAGGCATATTTTGTTACAAATCTTGAAGTGGGCCAACTGAAGTGGGAAGGGGCTCGTACACTTGTTTGTATCTTTTTATCCTAGTGTCGTCCCTTAAGTGTTTTTTTGATGTTTGTTCATTGCACCAGTTTCTATTTTTTTATGGCGCATTCCATGTCATCGTTTGATGATTCTTTGAATAAAGAATTATTATTGTTATTATTGTTATTATTATTATTATTATTATTATTATTATTATGATTATTATTATTATTATTATTATTATTATTATTATTATTATTATTATTATTACTAATACGCCTACGCAAATCAAAGGTGAGGTGAGAGACTGCCGAATTAAAGTGAGAGAGATAGCAGAGGTTGTGAACACGTCAAAAGAACATGTTTGTCACATATTAAATCAACAATTAGGCACGAGAAAGCTGTCCGCGCGTTGGGTGCCTCGTTTGATCAGGTTAGACCAAAAACGCGTTCGAATAAACATTTCTGATGGCGCAGTTTAGGCGTAATAAATCCGAGTTTTGGCGCCGATTAATTACTGAAGATGAAACTTAGATACACCATTATACGCCCGAAACAAAAATACAGTCCAAACACTGGACTGCAAAGGAGGAACCGGCTCCAAAAGAACAAAAACTGTTTTTTCGGCTGGAATAGTGTTGTCGACTGTTTTTTGGGATAGTATGAAGTTATTTTAATCGATTATCTTCAAAAAGGCAAAACTATTGCAGGAGTATACTACGCATCATCATTTGACAAGCTGAAGTCGGATTTTGCGGCAAAACGGCCTCATTTACAGAAAAAGAGAAGCCTGTTTCACCAAGACAATGCACCGTCTCACACCTCAGCGGTTTCAAATCTAGGAATTACGGTTTGAACTACTTGACTATCCGCCTTACTCACCAGATCTAGCCCCAAGCGATTTCTTTTAGCTCCCTCATCTGAAAATTTCGCTCGGAGGACTGAGATTTTCGTCAAATGAAGAGGCAGTCACCTTCGTGAACAATTATTTTGCAAAGAAAAACGCTGAGTACTATTTGGACGGGTTACAGAGATGGGAGCATCGCTGGGAGGAGTGTGTAGAATTACAAAGAGGCTATCTTGAAAAATGGAAAAAAATCGGAGAAAATATCTTGTATCTTTGTTAGGTCGGAAACTTTTATGCCCACCCTCGTATATGCCCATATATTCAAGCTACTTCTACTAGATCTTGTGGAATGGAGGGAATCTAAATGTACATTCCAATAAGGTCGATAATAAACATGAATAGGGAAGAATAAAGACATACCTTACCACCTTATCAGAAATGATTAAGTATGAAGGCCATTGGCCAGACTTCGCCATTTGTAACTGGACTCTATGAATTTGTTACAATAAAGTCGCTTGGGTTGAATTGAAATATAAAGGGTGCATAGAAAAAAGAGACATGATTTCCGGCGATACCGCTAATCATCCGAAACCGATATTTTCGATATACGGGTGTTATCGGCATATCGTCTATTCATTTTTTCTGTACGTAATTAGGAAGCCGAGTGAGAACACGTTGGCCACAGCACGCCTATATAAATCACAAAGTGATGCATACTGGAGAAACCCACCTCATGGAACCGTTCTAAGAAAAAGGTATTCTAAGGAACCAGTTGTATCTGAACATCCGCATATATATATATATATATATATATATATATGCCAGCTGCCACCAAGAAGAGAGGTCCTAGAGCAACCAGGACCACCGAGGCCCCCATGGCAGGAACAGGAGTTCCGCCAATCAATATCGAGGGCACCGCTGATTGGTCATCCTTAAGCAGGATGATGAACAGCAAGGGGATTCAATTCTCCAAGGCGAGGACGGCGGGTAACAGTGTGAAGGTCTTCACAAATACACCAGCTGACTACCGTCAGCTAGTCGCACTGCTGGAATCCATCAAGCGGCCCTTCTTCACCTATCAACTGAAGGAGGACAGGATGGACCAGAGGGTCATTCGTGGCCTACCCAGGGAGATGTCAGTCAATGACATCAAAGAGGATCTAGTGAGCCAAGGCATCGCAGACGCCGAGGTTCAGCAGATGACCTCAAGGACCACCAAGAAGCCACTTCCGCTCTTCCTCGTCAAGACGAAGATGCCGGAAAAGCTTGCAGAGATCCAGAGGCTGGCCATGCTCACGGTCAGCTTCGAGAGGAAGAAAAAGTCTTCCGAGCCCAGCCAATGTTACCGCTGCCAGCGGTACGGGCACACACAGCGGAACTGCCGTCTCGCTGAACGGTGCGTTAAGTGTGGAGAGGACCACAACAGCACCAGCTGCAGTCTGCCAGCGCCGCCAACAGGGCAACGAAACGCCAAGTGTTGCTTCTGTGGAGAAGGCCACCCCGCCAACTACAAGGGATGTAGTAAGGCCCCGAAGAAAGCTGCTTCTGTCCCCAAAGCAGTCCCCACCACAAATAGGACTTCCTACGCTCAAAAAGCGAAGAAACCTATGTCCACTTCTGCCCCAGCAGCCGCCACTGCTACTGGAACTACTGCGCAGAAGCAACACGGCGATGACAGACTGCTAGCAATGATGCAAGCCATCATAACCCGCCTGGATGCACTCGAGGCCAAGATGCAAGAAAAGCATTAGACCCGAAATGACTACAGGGCAAAACGTAGAATCTCTACGCATTATCTCCTGGAACATCAACGGATTCAGGGCACGGAAACCAGAAATCCAGGAGATACTAGACCAGTACCAACCAGAGGTGATGGCCATCCAAGAAACGAAATTGGATGCTGCCCATAGTCTGACGTTCCCGCGGTACGAGACGTACCGCTACGACAGAAGAGGCAGAGGTGGAGGAGTCGCATTACTCGTCAAACGTACCTTGACGAGTCATGTCCTCGACGATGCCGCAGACATCAATGGGGACGGAATCACGGTCCAGGTCCATCACAACCACCGTCCCTACAGAATCACCTCCCTATATGTGCCACCAGGGGGGGCCCTAGACGAAGATGACATCGCTGACCTCCTGAGAGGCCCAGGAGCACGCATAGTCATCGGAGATCTAAACTGCAAATCTCCGGCATGGAACAACAACGTCGAAGACAGGAATGCAAGGCAGCTCCAAGAACACGTCGATGCCCTGGCGGGGGTCATCGTCGGTCCGGAGCAACCAACCTACATTCCATTCGGCCTCGGGCGACCTGCGGTACTGGACATAGCCATCCTCCGCAACATCAGAGAGGAGTTCGAGATAGAGACCCTGGTGGAAGGATCGTCGGACCACAATCCGATTCTACTAACACTTGGCACAGGGTCTAGAACTCGAGATAGCTTGAGCACCAAACGGACGAACTGGAACCTGTACAAATCCAACGTCCAAAGGAACATCACTCAAATTCCAACCATCTGATCAGCGGAGGAACTGGACAACGCGGTAGTGGAGCTGGAGAATGCTGTCCTGCGAGCGCACGAGGACAGCACCCGCTCCGAGACTACGGCAGTTCCTAGACACCTAAATGGTCCAGCACCGCACCATATTAGGCACCTGATCAGGGAGAACAGAAGACTCAAGCGAGAACATCTCCAGCTGTTGACAGAGGAGTCGAGAGTTGCGCGAAACAGAGCATCGCTAGCTCTGAAGAACGCACTCGCGGAACTCCAAAACAGCAGATGGAATGCAGCCTGTGCAGAACTAGAGACCCAGGATGAAACGGCCTGGAATATGCAGCGAAAATTCCGTCGTCAACGCACCACGATCCCCACTCTTCACGGCCAACGCGGCTTGGCCTACTCCAGTGAAGAAAAAGCCGAAGCATTCGCCGATTCGCTAGAATCCGAATGCAGACTCAATTACCATGAAGACGAGGACGACAACCACGAGGAGGCTGTGGAAGTCGCAGCCGAAAGCATGAGGAGTCGACCACCTGGCCAGGAGACAGATCACCCCTCCAGTCCAGAGGAAATCCGTCTGATCATCCGCAGGTTGAAGGTCAGAAAGGCGCCGGGAAGGGACGGCATCAACAATAGGATGCTGTAGAACCTGCCCACCAAAGGCATTGCTGCGCTCACCAACATCGCCAATGCCACTCTGAGACTTAACCACTTCCCGCGGCGGTGGCGGGAAGCCCAGGTTATAATGCTCACCAAGCCAGGCAAGGACCGGAAGTTGCCCCAGAACTACCGGCCCATCAGCCTGGTTTCCTCGATGGGCAAAGTAGTCGAAAAGGCTATCGCCGTTCGACTAGAGAAGCAGGCAGAAGAACTGCAACTTCTCCCCCCAGAGCAATTCGGCTTCAGATCCTCCCACAACACGGAACTCCAAGCGCTACGACTGACGGAAAATATCACCAGCGGCTTCAATCTCCAGGAGGCAACCGGTCTCGTCCTGCTGGACGTGGAACGAGCCTTCGACCGAGTTTGGCACGATGGACTCATCGCCAAAATGGAAGCCGCCGGAATCGATGCGAACATGTGCCAACTGATCCAGAGCTATCTAACACAAAGATGGTTCACGGTGAAGATTGGTACATGCCATTCAACAAGACGACAGCTGGAAGCAGGCGTGCCCCAGGGGTCAGCCTTAGCCCCCCTGCTCTACAACATCTATACTCACGATGTGCCGAAGACAGCTGACACAATGCTGGCCCTATATTCAGACGACACTGCTATAGCCGCCAAGCATAGACGACCCGAGATCATCCGTAGGAGACTACAGGATGAACTGGACCACATCCAGGACTGGTGCGTTAAATGGAAAATCCGCATCAACGTCCAGAAGACGCAGGCAATCTTCATTCAACGAAGAAGGATTGCAAGACCTCGCGAAGCATCCATCTTCGACGAAGATATCCAGTGGAGCGACAAAGTCAAATATCTGGGGATCGTATTTGACAAGTCCCTCACCTGGAAAGCCCACATAGAAGCTGTCATCGCAAAGACCAGAGCAGCCATGGCTCAACTATACCCATTACTGGGTAGACACAGCCGGATGCCGCTAGCGACCAAGCTACGGCTGATCAAGGCCATCGCCAGACCTCAGCTCGCTTACGCCTCCGCGGTCTGGGGGTACGCTGCCCCCAGCTACCGCAAGCGATTTGCTGCTCTAGAGATGAAGCTACTCCGGATCGCCACCAGTGCACCATCCTACGTAAGAAACTGAACCTTGCGTAGAGACCTGCATTGGGACACCATCAACGAGTACATGAGGAAAAAAGCGGAGAAGACCTTCGAGAAAGCTCAGGACCACCCGAACGAGCAGCTACGATTCCTCATGGACTACGATCCGGACGAGAGGCCTCGCAACCGCAGAACCAGGTACCCCAGACCAAGGTCCCAGTTGGCACCCGCTAACTGGAACCTTGACTAGGAGACTAGGAGAACTCGCGGTTGCTCCCCCCCCCCCACGGCGTGGATGCAGGACCAGGAACCACCGGGACCAGGACCAACCAGGACCAGGACCCGCCACGACCAGGACCCACCAGGACCAGGACCCTTCAGGACCAGGACCAGGAACAACATATTGGTAAGAGGACTTGAAACTCTTGATTTTTCGAAAACAAGAGTTTCAAGAGAAACTAGCAGACCCTCTATCGATGATCGCTTAACGACATCTATAGAATGTGCGAGGTAAAGGGAACCAACCCGGCGTTCCCAGAGACTGAAACACATGAGGAGACGTTGTAGCAGACCGCAGGTCACGCACAACACATGGCCTAACGAGACGCTGATGAGTCGGGCCACGCGGAGGTTTAGGGTTTAGTGGGTATTAGGTGATCTCCTAAAGACCCTGGAGTCCCACACACGCCGTAGCTCGGGCTATGGTATGGTGCGTAAATGCATTCCCCCCTCACCAAAACAAGATACAACTGGTTCCTTAGAATACCTTTTTTTAGAACGGTTCCATGAGGTGGGTTTCTCCAGTATGCATCACTTTGTGATTTATATAGGCGTGCTGTGGCCAACGTGTTCTCACCCGGCTTCCTAATTACGTACAGAAAAAATGAATAGACGATAGGCCGATAACACCCGTATATCGAAAATATCGGTTTCGGATGATTAGCGGTATCGCCGGAAATCATGTCTCTTTTTCCATGCACCCTTTATATTTCAATTCAACCCAAGCGACTTTATTGTAACAAATTCATAGAGTCCAGTTACAAATGGCGAAGTCTGGCCAATGGCCTTCATACTTAATCATTTCTGATAAGGCGGTAAGGTATGTCTTTATTCTTACCTATTCATGTTTATTATCGACCTTATTGGAATGTACATTTAGATTCCCTCCATTCCACAAGATCTAGTAGAAGTAGCTTGAATATATGGGCATATACGAGGGTGGGCATAAAAGTTTCCGACCTAACAAAGATACAAGATATTTTCTCCGATTTTTTTCCATTTTTCAAGATAGCCTCTTTGTAATTCTACACACTCCTCCCAGCGATGCTCCCATCTCTGTAACCCGTCCAAATAGTACTCAGCGTTTTTCTTTGCAAAATAATTGTTCACGAAGGTGACTGCCTCTTCATTTGACGAAAATCTCAGTCCTCCGAGCGAAATTTTCAGATGAGGGAGCTAAAAGAAATCGCTTGGGGCTAGATCTGGTGAGTAAGGCGGATAGTCAAGTAGTTCAAACCGGAATTCCTAGATTTGAAACCGCTGAGGTGTGAGACGGTGCATTGTCTTGGTTGCCGCAAAATCCGACTTCAGCTTGTCAAATGATGATGCGTAGTATACTCCTGCAATAGTTTTGCCTTTTTGAAGATAATCGATTAAAATAACTTCATACTATCCCAAAAAACAGTCGACAACACTATTCCAGCCGAAAAACAGTTTTTGTTCTTTTGGAGCCGGTTCCTCCTTTGCAGTCCACTGTTTGGACTGTATTTTTGTTTCGGGCGTATAATGGTGTATCTAAGTTTCATCTTCAGTAATTAATCGGCGCCAAAACTCGGATTTATTACCCCTAAACTGCGCCATCAGAAATGTTTATTCGAACGCGTTTTTGGTCTAACCTGATCAAACGAGGCACCCAACGCGCGGACAGCTTTCTCGTGCCTAATTATTGATTTAATATGTGACAAACATGTTCTTTTGACGTGTTCACAACCTCTGCTATCTCTCTCACTTTAATTCGGCAGTCGTCTAGAACCATTTGGTGAACTTTGTCGATATTTTCGTTGGCAGTTGCAGTTTTTGGACGTCCCGAACGTTCATCGTCTCCCAAGCTCTTGCGGCGACGTTTAAA